GCGTTTTCTAATAACTACCTAACACTCACACTTGACAGGAGAGGCAGGTTACTGGTCTCCATTTTCCTCATGGTACAGGGAATCATTTGAATATATCCCATTTTAACATGCCAAATCTAGGACATCACTGGTAATCTCACCAAAGAATGTTACTTCAAATCCTAATATGTCTTCTACTGAAAAAATGTGTACCTTTAACTATGGCAAAAAGTCTACAATGGCTGCAAGTTGAGGATGCTGGGATTTTCTCTCCTAAGTCTGTGTGACATGATGAAAGCATTACAGCAAATACGCACATACCCGCATGCACACACCTTTATTTGTCCCACAGATAAATGCTATCACAGGATGTGCTGGACTTCAAAATCCATAAAAGTAAATCAAGATATAGTCCTCTAATAAATTTTAACAGTTTTGCTCAGTTTTAAGTTTTAAATCACACTTAGAAACTGAGAAAATAGAGCTGATTATGTGAAGCTGATGATGCAATAACAGAAACTATCACAAGATCTATTTAACATTACATTCTAAATATGAATCTTCAAAATGCATTTTTCCAGATTTATTTCCAAGTAAATACACCTAGAAATCCAGTAAAGTTTTAAGATCTTGTACATGTAGTAAGTTTAAAAAATTCTGCTAGGGCAACAGAAGTAGGAAGTGTGATAAATCTGATTTTGGGGATGTCAAGTTTTTCCTCAAAATCTATTTGAGGAGAGCAAAAAGTGAAATGAGTAACTACTTGTAATTTTTAATTTCAATACAAATTATATTTTAAAATCTAACTTATGGAAAGAACATTTCACAAAAACCTAGGTGCACTTTATACAGAAGTTTCCTTGCAAATAAGAAACTATGTTCTCTTTTGAAATCGGTAACTTCAAGCAATTCTAAAAACAGAATTTTTAATCCTCTTTTCCTTACCAAACTAATAAATATAAGAAAAATTCAAATATAATTTAACTTGTTAAAATATTAAAACCAGGATTTTTTTACTTGCTTATTCAAAATTACCTTTCAATCTTCCCCAAATCCATCACTGATAATGTCTATTTTACCAATATAGGATTTTTAATTATAAAATTCCTGAAAGAGTAAACGAAATAACTGTGAAGAAGCTATTTATTATTATAAAATGTACAATCTAATAATACCTATTTTAAAACTTCATATTGTATTAGGAACATAAGTAAATGTTTTAAAACTGCATTTTACACAGGGTATATACATGAATGCATGTCAGGCATAACCTCAGACAAATGCACTGGTCATTTCTTGCTACAGTCTGCATTGCAAAGCTATATTTTGAATTTTAAAGAACAGCACAGACAACTTTGAACTTGACTTTCTGTATGTGGGCATTCTATCTAAAACAATATCACCACTTGAATTTATAAAGTATATCTGGGCATGTTTAACTGTCATCAACCTCATTTACACTTATTTAAGTAGAAAACATAAAATTGGAGTCAAATTTCTAAAATCAAAGATAAATGTGATTCCTCTTGCATAAAGCAGAATTTGGGGGAAGTTTTAGAATTTAAGCAAATATTTCCATTCAATAAATTCTATCACTGTGCACTATGTTTCTTGATATTTATCACCTACATATTTTAAAAATTCACAGTATCAGAAACTAATCTGGTCCTATTTACCTATAGTGAAGATACTGACATCACATATGCCTTTCACATTAGTATCTATCAGACATAACAGACTCCTGCTAAATTTATTACTCTGATTTTCTTCACCTTCATAGATAATCTCATACAAAAGCAGAAAAAAGTTACCATTAAAAAGTTATGGATCTTTTCTTGTGGTAGCTCACAGTGAAAAAAAATGTGACAATGAATATATATATGTTCAGGTATAACTGAAAAATTGTGCTCTACACTGGAATTTGACACAACATTGTAAAATGACTATAACTCAATAAAAAAATGTTTAAAAAAAAAGTTATAGATCTTTGGTGATGGAGGACTGAAAGCAGAATCTTGCCTATCTGGGAAATGCAGTTAACACACCAGCTGAACGGTAATTCCCTAATGCAGGGTCATCCTTCTGTTATTTAAAGATATTAAAAAAGCTGAAAAGGTGTCATCAATGATGCATTTTAAAAAATGGTGCCCAAAGAAGTGGTATAGTGATTGAGATTAATTTCAGATTTAGCAAATAAATTTCAAACTGATTGTGATGAAGCCAAATTAATTCAAGAACATGTAATATCATAAGCAGGGCATCAAACTTCTCTGAAAATAACAAATATTACACAAGTCAGAAAACTACATAAACTATCTTCAAAAGAAAATAGTATTGAGACAAAATTGAATAATGTTACTTGTAGAAACAACAAAACTGTTTTGTGAAACATCAAAATATTTTTAAACACTCAGCCTTCTTTTTAATGAAACAGTATTCTGATTATAAAAGAAGTAAATGCTCACTGTAAAAAAAATTTAAAAGATTATTAATAAAGAAGAAAAACCTAATCGCATCGCTTTTAGTATTTTAAAAGACAACCATTTACACTACTAAAGAAACTTTAAAACACTTCAAATTATGGTGCAAAACTAACATTGGGTAAAACTTTCACTTACAAGTAACACCGAAAAGAGGATCTATTTTTTTCCCCCTTTTCAGGTCATATTGTTTTCCTCAACATCTATATATTTGGTTATGGATTATGCCACTTTCCACAGATTCTTCTTCATCTTTAAGTTTTGCTCAGGGAAAAGAGCAACAGTTGGAACCTGTACAACAGAATATAGCATCAGCTCAGTAACACAAGCTCCTATGCAGTGTGATGGTCCTACCTGGACACAGATGACGCTATGCTCAGCATGTTATACCAGTAAATTCCCCACATCTTAATCTTTATCTGTTTATCACCTATTTATATCTTTCCACATCTAATGATTAGTTTCTAGGGTAGAGAGAGACAGAAGAAGGTTGTTTAAGGCAGCGACATCATTTCTAATCTTACATAATGAATAAGTAAAGCAAATCTGCTTATTAATCTTTGTTTCTCCCGGATAACACATATATGACAAAGTATCTTAAATTCCATTTTAGCAAATGAGGAAAACTAAAACGCAAAGACAAACGGCAAGATATTCCTGAACATTCCTTTCCCACTATTGTTAACCTGATAAAAGAAAAAATGTTTAAGCATATTTAATACAATAAAGTAAGGAGGCCGGTTAACCTCAAAACTATCCCTGTCTCATCCCAACATCTGCTTGCTGGATCTCTTTAATCTCAAATGATGTCTCATGAATAATTATTTGAGTGTAAACAGATTTGAACAAAAATGCTATTTTAGAAAACTCTAATTGTTATAAAACACAATTTTCTTAAATTGGAACTACTGATCTTTAAGTTGTGATGGCAATAAATACAGCAGTCACAAAGATAATAAAACAGCAGCTACCACATTCCCAACACTTTGTATGTGTCAGGAACCATGCTGAGTACACAGACTACATTATCTCATTTAGTCCTCAAATCCAGCCTAATAGGAGGGTACAAGTCTCTGGATTTTTCCAGATGAGAAAACTGAAGACTTAGAATATTTCATACCTTATCTAGGGCCAAACAGCTCATGAGGGCCAGGGTTCCAGTGCAGGTTTCACACACAAGTAGGTTATAAAGACTTCCAACACTGTATAACTTCAGTAACAACTCCACAGATAATAGAACCTTTAGCAATAGACCACAGCATTATGGTTTGGCTGTCATTTATAACCAAATTGGATAATTACCACAGAATACAATATGATGATAAGAATAATGGTTATGCTTTCTATTTTTAAAACACATTATTCTAAAAAAGACAGAGTAGTTTCAAAATAAGTCTTATCTTACTCTATAAACACATATTAAAATATGTCAAAAGGAAGTTAAGTAGCTTGCCCTAGAGCTAGCTGTACCTGAAACATTATAATCAACGAAGAATTCAAACCTAGATCTGGCCTTAGAGAGGCTCTCCTTTCAGCCACAATAAAGCTTCCCTTCTCCACTCTTTTTCTTCAAAAAATTTTTTTCAGTAGGAAATTTATAGAGACTTGAAAAAGCTATTCAATGAAAACTTAAGAAAAATGAGCGAAAGTAACGTCAAGGAAATGTCATGCCCCAGGGTTTCAGTTTGATCATAGACTAAACTGGCAAGTTTGGGCTTATCAGATTGCTGCTTTAATAAAAGAGAGTTTTAAGATCAAGGGAAAAGATAACACAAGATAAAAAAAGAACTGAAGCAAAAGATTAAAGTGAGAAAAAAAGAAAACTCAAAGAAGTTTTGTAGGGAAAATATAGACAGACACACAAAGGTTTGAAGGCTTTGGGGGCGCTGGCGGTGGGGAGGCAGTATGCATAATGGTTAAGTGTACAGGCTTTGGCTTCAGCCTCAGCCCAACTGAGTATGAATGAACCCCTTCCACTGACTGACTGAGCGACCTTGGAAAAATTACTTTTCTTTATAGTTTCCTCATCTTTAGGATAGGAATAAAAACAGTACCTATCTCAAAGGGTTGTAGTGAGGATTTAATGTTAAAATACATGTAAAACTTAATACAGTGCCTGGCATATAATTACTGTTATTAACTGTCCTGAGAGAAAGCCACAAGAGGAAAAGTCAGTAAGTACAGCCTCAGATTTTCTGTACAGAGGACTCCCTGGATCTTTTCTAACTATACTTACACACCAAACTTAAGGAATCAAAACTTGATTCCCAAATAATACACATAATGTTGAAGGTTCTATTTATGTCAACTGAAAAGTTGGCAGTATTACATTTCCTCAAACTCTGTTTTCCTTGAACTGGTCTGAACTTAAAAGGCGCATTTCAGCTTATCCAAGATGCCCTGGCAAACAGGGGACAAGAATTAATATAAACAACCCAAACCTCAGAAATGCCAAACAATTAAATTCTGATCCTCCAATAAGTTAATGCTTATTTTAAGTAAATGCTTTATTAAACTGAAGCAAAGTCTGGTTTTGATATGTAGAATACTGTTTTATTCTTTATTTTAAACCTTTCTTACATGTCTAAAAATATACAAGGGTTTGGAACAATCTCAATAAAATGATGACATTTCTTTTACCAAAGGACCTCTGAAGTCAAACCACCAGTGTGCAAACATGGTCGGCTTCCAATTAGAAGAGTCATAGGCACATTTCACTAAATGCATTTCATAAAACAGAGAAATCAAAAATGCTGAGAAGAAAAATACCCAGTAGTTTCATATAAATTTTAAAATATCTGCCAGGCAGGAAACTTATGGTTAAAAAAAAAGTAAGATTTAGATGTTTCAGCACTTACTCCTGATTCCACTGCTAATTTCCCAAATGCCATTTTGCTACATCTAAACCCCTGACAATTTATTACACAATTCCGTGTAGCACACTAAAAAATAAATTAACCTCTGGATATGAAAACAGATCATTACAAAAGAAAATACTGACAGTTCTTAGCTGTATTTGATAATTAAGTATATTGTATTTTCAGCAGCACTAAGAATGCAGGTTGGCCTAATATAAATATCTAAATACAACTACACAAAAGTATTTTTCTCTTAAAAGAATTTTTTGTATATTTTTTTCCAACGTTGATGACTTAAGAAATATTGATCTATATATTGTGCTAAGAAAACATTAGGCACAGATCACATAATATAATTTACATTTTTCTTTGTTGTAAAAAATATAGTATGTGCAAATGCATTATCATACAAATAACTGGTGGACACAACAATAAGCTCTGTAGACCTACTACAAAAAGGTTAATATTTTACTCTTCAAAAAAAAAAAAGACACACAGACACAACAAGTAGCTCTAAGAGTGACACTTCACTTCTGAGTGGGTACTCTGCATCAGCATTAGAATTATTTGTGAATTTTCTTAAAAGAAACAAAGCTTAACTATAGGAAAAAAAAAAAGACATCACTTTGGGCACATGAACTATTTCAAAAGGGACCAAGAAAAATGTTTCCCAAAGCCATTAAAAATATTTCAAACAGTCTATAGATTGCTTTGTTGGAAGGAATGAATTATTCAACATTATGACTGTTTTATATAGTAGATTCTTTCATCAGCTAAGACACTTCTGGATTAAAGTACCAAAGAATGCAGATGAAGACAAATGGAGGAAAAAAAACAGGCTGTTAGGAAGGAGGAGGGAGCATACTTTTACCCAGAAGAAACAAAAATATCATTTCTTTTTGTTCACAGCAGAAATTTTGTGCTGCAAATATTATGAAAACACAAGCAAAAGGGTTGTGTTGCAGGTAACAAAATACATGCTTACTACGCATCCTCCATGGAGAGACCATGTAGATTAGTGAGTTTAAAAGTACACTTTGATGCAAAAGGTTATACTTTACTACATATATAATATGTAGCATTTTTCTATTAAGGGCAGTTTATATTAAGTAACTTCCATAAACACAAGAAGAGTGAGAGACAGAGACAGACAGAATGAGAGACAGAAACAGAGAGAGTCCAGTGAGATAGAGACAGACGCCAGGGGCTTTGTTCATGCCCTGTGGAAGATCTGAGATACTTTTTCATCCTTAGTGCTTAATTTTTCTTATTACTGCTCACATACTACAATTATCTTACGATATTACCCTCTATACATCCTTTTCTTTATTTTTTTCCATGAAAAAAGGGGAGATTTATAAAAAAGAAACCTTTAGTCTCTTCCTCTCATAGTCAACCATTCAAGTAAATATTTCTCTAGTGGCAAATTTCCAGATGAATTAAGAATACGATCCAAAAACTACTGTCAGATTACATTTGATTTACTGCGTAGCCCTGTTCAAATGGAGCAGGAATTAGCCCGTTTCCTAGGTTTGGGGTCTCGTGCTTCCTGATCCTTCACACACATACAAGATGTGCACATCGTCTCGGAGAGTCTTCGGAGGCCTAGCCGGAAAACACTGTTGGAAAGGCTGTATATTACACAGTTACAAAAACTATTACTTATAGCAAGCCAGGTTGTTAGGAAGGACAGTGTTGGATTGTCCAAGACGCGGGAGCTTTCAAGAAGAAAGTAAATGATATAGGGGAGCCACAGCATGTAAAACACACTGGTTATCCGAAACAAAACCATAGCGTAGCGACGGTCGGGGCTGTGTCCAGTGTCTCCAGAGGAATCCACCTCGTGGCTAGGGAATCGGGCCCTCCGGTCATTTATCTCTTTGGTGTGCTGTCGGCAAATTTTGAAAATGTGGAAGTAAGTGAAGCAGACAACAAAGGCAGCGGGAGCATAAAGTAAACAAACAATAAAGCCAGTAAAATAGGCACTGGTGAGCCAAGAGGAGGCACACCACTCAAAAATGTCTCCGTGGTAACCAGGTTTCCCCCAGCCAAAAAAGGAAGGCAGGAAAATTAGGCAAGAGTAGATCCAGATTAAAATAATGCAAATTCTCAGACGGCAAGGGGTGACCAGTTGATTGTAGGAAAGAGGCTTGGTTATTGCAAGATAGCGATCCACACTTATGCAAGCCAGACATGCCATAGAAACACTTTTTAGAACTGAGATGATATATCCAAAAACCTGGCAAGTCAGTGACTCGTGAATACCTGTGGAGTAGTGGAGAAGTGAGAGAGTAGGAACCAAGCAGCTAACTCCAACGAAAAGGTCAGCATATGCCATCGTCTGAATGAAATAGCTGGTCGTATAATGGTGTAAGAGCGGAGCACAGTGAAAGACAAAGATGACCGTTAAGTTCCCAGCAATGATCAGAAACGTCAGCAAGACAATAACAACTGTCTCAAAGATGCAGACATCCACCATACTGTAGTGGCCAAATCCAAGCGGGCAGGAGTGACGTTCAGACACATTCAAAATGCCACTGCTCGTGTTCAGGCTCCTCCATTCAGTCCACCCGGATTCATTCATGGCTTGGAATTAAGGGAACCTGCAGCCTTGGCTACAGCAAGCAGGTGCCCTGCCCAGCATCTGCTAGACTCTGCCCATGAGTGTCTCAGAATCAGCTTCGGTAGACAGTGGCAGCGCTCCTGTCACAGCTGAGCATCCCAGAGAGGACTCAAGTCTCTTCATCAGCCTCAGTGCAGCAGTAACACACCTCAGCTTTGGGGGAGGAGGGAGGGGAATAAGCTAGAAAGGAGGTGAAAAAAGGTCACTTGATTAGCTTCCTCTACTGCTCTCAAACAACTTTTTGCAGACATAAGGCACTTCTAGAGAAAATGGACCTACTACTTTGCACTACAAAAAAAAATTGTATTTGTAAAAGAAAAGAAAAAAAAAAGCAATTGCCAAGGGAAGAAAAGCCACTGTGAGCCATTTGTTCTCCTCAGAAAGGTAATGTCTTAGGGATCAACTAGAAAGAATGAGAAAAGAAAAAGTCTTAAATATTCTCGGGCTGTTTCATCTGTCATGAGCAGTGGATTCATATTTTAGAATTTTAATAATTAAGATCTCAGATCTGGCTGGAAAGCTAAGAAAAAAGTTCACTGTGGCAAAGTGTCTTTGAGTTCAGCTCAGGGTTTGGTGCTGCTGGGTCAACTTTATCTATTTCTCTCGCATTTCTCTCAAAAGCTAAGAACCCCCTTCTCCAACAAGCTCAATTCTAGAAAACTCACATCTCTATTTGGGCACAAAGGAGCAGAACAGAGGTAATAGGCTCCAGATTGCCCTAAAACTCTCATGAGAGAAAAAAAGCATGTTTCCAGAAGGGAATATAACACACAATGAGTCAAAGCTGACAACATATGATAAACTTCTGAAGTTTAATTCTGCATGCATTTTTTTTAAGCATTCAGATGAAAACAGTCCATTATAGTTACTGGTGCTACCATCAGCAACGTAATTTATACTTCTTCCTTTCCAAAAGGAAAATAAATCATTTTTGCTATTAATTTCAGCTAAAATTAACCTTCATTATCTGATACGCCACCTTCCTTACAGTGGTGCATGGTCATAACTTATTTCTCAGCTTTGCAACCACACCTATGTCTCACAAATATATGTAAATATATGAAATTCAGACAATAATAGAAACTTTCCTATGTACTCTGAGCTTATTTATTTATTACTTAGGTATTGCTAAGTAGGCTTTATAGTCCATATATTTCTACATCTTTTCTAATTTCATTAAATGATTAACACATTAAATCATTACTTCAGTTAAATCTTTTGAAAGTGGAAAATTTACCTTGTTTGTTATATTTTCAGTTATATAGCAGCCATATGTTAAGAAAATGCCACTTCTATTTCTGTATTCTATTTTGAGCAAGTGCTCAATTAATACAGGGGCCATTTAGGTAGGTTATAAGATGTTCCTGTTTTAAAATACTTCTAAAGCATCACGATGAGTTTAAATCCTATAGTCTGAAATACTGAAAAGCTGACAGGATAGAATCCATCCAAAAGGCTTCCAAGGTCATTCTGATATCAGGTTAACATTTGTCAAAAGTCTTTTTTAAAGTATAGGCATTTCAGAGAGTCTCTTGTCAGTCTTTGCTGTCATACCTTTTGAAGAAGTAACATGCATTAGAAATAAAAACATTTCCTTCAGGAACAATGCAGCAGCTTAACAGAAAGCATTCTTCTGAAAGTTATTTTCTTGTGCACCACCAAGTCATGCAGAGAAGTCCTTTTTCTTTCATAATAGCCACAGGATATTCCTCCTTGTACATGCCTAGTTTCACTTATCACAAAATAGTTCTCTTGTTACAGGAATAAAACAATGCTTCTCACCTACAGTCACTCTTATCAGCTGCTAGGCTGGGCTGCTTGATTCAGAAGTCCGATTTACTGTGATGCAGTTACCAAGATGCTGTCGGTATATTCTTAACAATCTCTCAGTATCACTGCCTCCACCTGAGCCGAAGCCCTGCTCCTCCTCCTCATCCTGAGCTGATGCAGAAGAACTCACCATCAGAAAGGTGACTCGGTCCTCCTGCCCCAATCAACAGCACAGTCAATGGCTACTGCAGCTGAAACTGTCACTAGGTAACAGTTGCCAGGCACATGCAGGCTTATAGACTTACTCGGCAAGCTCCGATCAAGATTGACAAAAGACAATGGAACTGACCGATCTTTATAACATATTAACGACATGCAAGAATTTCTAGAGGTATTCTCCTTATGGCATGTTGTAAAGATTATTTCCTATGAGCAGGACAGAAAAGAAAAAAACCAAAATAAAACAAAAAAAAACCCCCTGGGATACACCTTTAAACCCTGTAGAGAAACTACCACAAGGTACTATGGCACTAAAAAGTCAGCAGTAATCTAATACTCATTGGCAGAAAAAACTTATTAATTATTAAAAAAATCAGCTAAGTCTTCATGAACTCAAGTGATAGAGCTACTATTT